TTGATAAGATACATGTGGTCGTATAACATTTCGATTCTCAATTGCCTACAGATGAGAATTGTGCACATGAAATACACCCTGGCAAGTAAATGTCGCATCATCTGTAATCAGCACAGAAAGTTTTCAGACCTTCACAAATAATAATTCCCCATTCCGTTTTACGTACCTCAGGGTCAGAGGATGCTACTACAACTGCAATAGAAAATATTATGGACGCCGTATTCCTAAAGGACGATGCAGAAGGTGATACAACAGCGCAAAGATCGAGAAGAGAAAATACCCAACCTCCTCACACACAAGATGACGCTCCCTTCACTGAATTCGAAATTAATAATATTATTAAAATTCTGCCAAAGAAAAAAGCTCCAGGTCCAGACGGGATAGATAACGTAATAATAAATATAATAAACAAACACTTCCCTTCTCTTATCCCGGTACTAAGAAACAAATGCCTAGCATATGGTATTTTTCCCTCCTGCTTCAAGATAGAACAGGTAATTCTGTTCAACAAGAAAGTTCAAGATGCGTCCAATCCGAGCTCATATAGACCAATAAACCTTCTCCCAGCGCTGGGAAAAGTTTTTGAAAGAGCCCTTGCGAATCGCCTCAGGCACCATTTGAGAAAATTAAATAGCATCAGTAACTTGCAATTTGGATTCACACACAACAGAAGCAAAATACATGCATTCAATGAAGTGATAATCCAAATTTCTAACAACAAAGCCCAAAATCTGCATTCCGCTCTACTATGCCTAGACCTCAAAAAGGCCTTCGACTCACTCTGTTGGCCTGAGGTATTAGGCGCACTTAAAGAAATCAAATGCCCGAAGAACCTATTTAAAAGTATTCCAGAACTATTTTTCCAACAGAAAAAGCATAATAATAACCAACAGCAGAACCATCGAGAGAAACCAAAAAAGAGTTTGTCCGCAAGGCTCTTGTCTTAGCGCTGATTTCTGGAATTTAGCATTTAACAGAATAGTACAACATCAATGGCCAGACCACACAAAGTGCATTGCATTTGCTGATGATGCAGGTTTTGTAATTCAGTGGAAGCTCTAGACAAGTACTGGAGGCCAATGTTAATACCACTCTGGAAAAATTCAACGAACTTTGCAAGCACCAAAAACTAACAATATCACAGGAAAAATCTCAAGTCATGATATTTCATAAGCCTTCTCAAAAAATAACCAGATTACCGAAATTCCACATTGACAACAACAAAATCAAAATAGTCAAATCCTTAAGATATCTTGGGATTACAATAGATAATAACCTTAACTTCATTGAGCACCTACAGCAAATTAAGAAGAAAACCTCCAGTATAGCTAATAACCTGAAAAGAATGCAAGGTGTCGGATGGGGCTTAAACCCCCAGATATAAAAGCTTTTGTATAACACTATTATAGAAAAGTTAGCACTGTATGGTGCAGCGATATGGGCGTCACCAATGACGGTGAGAAAACAAAAGCAACTCCAATCCATCTAAAGGCCCTTTCTTTTAAATTATTCGCCGGCTTACAGAACAACCTCAAATGCTGCACTGTTTCAGCTCACCAGCAGCATCCCCCTCTTCTTAGTTGCAGAGCAGGAACATACAAAGGCTTCATTCAGTTCTTCAACTAAGAAAAGACTGCAAAATTAAAAATGAGATAGTAGCTGCGAGCTCCTACACCTCACCGATCCATCCATATGAAAGACACCCAGCTAGACGAAATAATATCACACTATGCATAAGGCAGAATAAATACCAAGCATTATTTCCGAAGATATACACTGATGGTTCTAGCATAAACAACGGAAAAGGATGTGCTTTAAAAATATATATTAGTGACTATGGCACAAAAGACTTCAAGTTCCAACTTGACAAAGAGAATAGCGTTTTTTGGTTGGAAATGTTCGCGATTTTGCAGGCAATCAAATAAGCACACATCATCATTTTCCAAGGACTTACATCTATACAGAGTGTCTCTCGCCACAGCATGCACTCGCGAACACAAATAATAGATCACCATTAGCTCAGGAAATTCTTATAAAGTCCTCCAATGCCCAAGGCCGAAAATTCTTTATAATCTGGATCAAGGCCCATGTTGGTCATAAAGGAAACGAAGAGGCTGACATATTAGCCAAAGAGGCAGCACAGGGAATGAATGCAAAGAAAATAAGCATTCCTTGGCTACCTTCTCACCTCAAACTAAAACTACTGATCGGAATTGAAGACTTATGGCAACAATGGTGGGACACTGCAAATACAGGCAGAAGAGTTTACAACCTCTTCCCCAAAGTTGACTCTCCGCCAATCCCTCTCTCCAGACATATCACGTGGTTTATCACGGGGAACGGTCCCTTTCCCAAGTACCTCTATGCAAGAAATCTTTCTTCATCAGACTCCTGTGCATGTTGTGAAAAGGGTCACCTCGAACATTATGTATTTTCCTGCCCGTTTACAGATTCCCTTCATCTAAAGAAGCCAAATTCAGAAGAGGATTTATTCCCATTTCTAAGATATGCAGCTAAAAACAAGCACTTGAGGAATAAAATTATGAAGGTTATTGACCAATTAAATGCAGATATAATGTAAGCGGCGTACCTTTATAGGTGTTGGTGTAGGTGTTGGTGTATTTAATTATGGCAAAGCACACGAGGGCTATCTGCCTAAAGGGAGGGATGCCTTTCGTGGAGGACTTTCTAAGGGAAACTGGCTCGTATACACGTTACACATGGGGAAAACCACGAAAACGCCCATGCAGCCAGCCCGTTCGCGGGATTCGAACCTCAGACCGAACTACCAGTGTTCAGCGTCTTTACCGCTCGGCCACTGGTGGGCTCCGTACCTTTATAGGAAAGAAATAAGCACTGTAATTCATATGAAGCACAAAATAGGTCCCTCACAAGTAGGGTAAGGGGCTCCTATCTGTTTACTTCAGGTAAATAATATATGGCCCCTACATTTCTATAAAACATAAGGTCAGATTACTTGATAAGTGAACACATATAATAAATAACCAGCATTCGGTTGGTAAAGTATCAACAATGTAATGTATCATAGTATGTAATTCATGTAAACTAATTATTGTAAAATCACACGTAATTACATACAATGAACTGACAAAAATAAGTTGGCAATGTATCAGCAAATGTATTCAGATATATCTAAAAGTACGTAGTACGCATAAGTATGCAGATGAAGCTATTTTTTCTTGTTTTGTTTTCAGACTTATTTATTTATGTCTTTTTTATTATTTTATATTCTTTTCTTTTTTTGAAAGCTGTTTGAAAAAATATTATGTAAACAAGTCATGATTGCAGGCATGATCTATATACTAGAAATAAGTTGCTTCTAGCCATCTCAATTTATAATGTCATGATCAATTTTTACATGCAAATAACAATGTACTGCTAGACAATAATGTAATTTCTGAAAATTAATTAACAGAAAAACATACGTTGCAGTACATAATGAATCGTCAAAATTGAGCTGTTAAAGTTTAAGCCCAACTTTACAATAGTACTTAAATGTAAGCTTTGTAAACAATTTTATAGTTCTTAATTAATTCTGATAGTAAACAGATCATGTTTACAAAAATGATTTGTAACGTGGGAACATCCCGCCTGTTTCTAATGCAATATATAATGTCCTGAAACATGTTGCCTGTATCCACTACAATACATAACATCTTCAAAATATGCACCTGCACAACTATGTATTTCGCAATGTATATCATGCAATTTAATCCCTTTTACTTGAGCTAATTTAACGCTGAAAGGTTAGGAGTACCTTTGATGCCGCCGCCGGTGGCAGTACTTATAGTGCTCACTAAAGTCACAATTTCCATCACGACTCGAGGAATGATCCTAGAATGTTGTTAGTTTTTATTTAGTGTGTGGGGCTAATACCTGCTTACTTAGGGTAAATATAAGGTGGCCCCCTCACTTCTACATAACATAACATAACATAACTAAAATGCACATCTACTAACCTGTAAAGCAACTGTACATATTTGTGCAAATTAGTAACATGCAAATAACTTTCGTGACGTAGTTTAAAGAAGATAATTTTTATATGTGCTGTTTTCTTATGAAACAATTGATGCGAGATGCTGTGTGATCTCATTTGCATTTTGCAGTTTTTTATTGTAAATGCACATAAATTTTTATTTATGAATGAATAAATGGATTGCGACCCGAGGTTCCAATGATAAAATTATTCACATCTTTGTTCTGTATCATCCCTGAAAGTTTGTAATTTAAATTTCGAATTACCATTTCTACATCACGGTGCTTCGAAAATTTTAAATTAATAAAACAATTATATATCTAATCTGAAATACTTACATATCAGAAATATGAAAATTTTACATAACTTTTATATGTTTTATAACAATATTGAACAAAGAGGAGGAATGCTTGTCAACTTGAAACATGTTCAAGCTATCTTAATAAGCAAAAATTGTTGCCAATTATCTACTTATGATAAGCTGCCGAGACGATTTAAAGACTGGTCCAGATATTCCTATATCCGCAATGCCATGATATTTCACAAATTTTTAACTATTTAACCGAGGTTGTAATATTTTAGCAAAACTAGAGTTCCTCGTAACCTGGAATACTTATTACACTTGTAGCGAAAATTCGCTGTAATCTTCTGGTTTCTGTTAGAAGTCCAAAAGAAGACTAATTATTCTTTCATTTCCAGCCGAAAGTTATAAATAGATCGTTCCTGTGGAACGTACAGTAAACCTCAATTTGGGCTTCAATTTAAAATAGAAAATATAAATGTAATTAATACTAAACAAAATTAATCAGGCGAAGCTGGATACAATCTACTCGGAGAGTTGGCTCCTATTGAAGAATAACCGGCGTACACTGTTAGGAACGTATTAAGTACGTAATTTATATTTCTTCAGATCAGAGGATTTCGTGTTTTTGAAAAGCAAAATTTCATCAAAATATACCTAAAATATTAAAATCGATAACTTATGCATATTTGTTCATTTTAGGTGCAATGGGAGTTTCAGGTGCAGTGGGAGCTGGTGCTCAATCAGGAGGTTCGGGTATGTAGTACTCAAAGCAAATCTTGTTCAGTGCTTTCGTTAGTTCTTCTAGTGTATGTAACAAGATTAAACAAATGTTACTTTACTCTTTTATTCCAACAAAAGAAGAATAAATAGATTGTTCCTCTGGGGCGTACAATAAATCTCTGTTTGGGCTTTAATTTAAAATAGAAAATATACATTTAATTAATTCTAAACACAATTAATCAGGCGAAGCTAGATACAATTAACTCGCAGAGTTGGCTCTTATTGAAGGGTAACTAGCGTATACTATTAGATACGTATTATGTACGTCAGTAAATTGAAAACTAATTTATACTTAAGACACAATAACACGCCGAATAAATACTAATTCAGAAGTCAAACAACAACAACAACTGCTGCATATTTGTTCATTTTAGGTGCTTCAGGTGCAATGGGATTTGGTGCGAAATCAGGAGGTTCAGGTATGTAGTACTCAAAGCACGTTTTGTTCAATGCCTTAATTACACTGTCAGAAATTGATTCTAATATGTATATTAAACACAAATGAACTTCTCAGTTTATTTTCCTGTAAGAACTTCCAAGTTATGCATAAAAGAAGTCTGGAAATATATTCGCTCAAATCTCCCATTAGAGAACAGGATTTTCTAGAGGCATTTCACATTCATAAAAATCTTTCTGTTCTAGTTAACGATCCTAATTCCGATCCAAAATTGTCTTCGGCCTTAAGAAATTTTGTTTTTGTTCTGGTTTCATCAACAGATGGCGCCACTTGCTTAATCTTGTCCAGGCTTTCTTATGTTATCTAATCATTATTTCCTATCTTGTTCATTCGCGGTTTTGCAGCTGAGGATGGTGGTTGGATAAAACAATCGAAACTCGTCCTGTGAAAGTTTTGTAAATATAACGCTGATTTTTGTTGTTTGACTTCTGAATTAGTAATTTATAGTTCTTTAGATTACCGGATTTAGCCTTTTTAAAAAGAGCAATTTCATCACACTATACTTAGAGTATTAAAATCGATAACTGCTGCATATTTGTTAATTTTAGGTGCTTCAGGTGCAATGGGATTTGGTGCGCAATCAGGAGGTTCAGGTATGTAGTACTCGAAGCACGTTTTGTTCAATGCCTTAATTACATTGTCTGAAATTGATTCTAATATGAATATTAAACACGAATGAATTTCTCAGTTTATTTCCCTGTAAGAATTTCCAAATTATGCATAAAAAGAAGTCTGGAAATATATTCGCTCAAGTTACATTTAATGATTTATATAGTTTTTTATGATGGGAGCCATTCAGTATTAATCGCATTAGTTTTAGGTTTCCGAGGTAGAAATCGTATACTAAAGTTAACAATTGCACGGAATTATACAGTTATGTGAAGTACTTGTTAGAAACATTCAGTGCTACATATTGTTGCGTGTATTCGGGCTATTAATGAATTGAATGCACGCTGAAATCCTGATACAGTGTAAAATATATTTTACCAAAAATGCCCTTCACATTTCTGAAATTTTCTGCTAAAATATTCGTACAGCTATTCCCAATATCGCACAGTAATATCAGTAGGTTCACATCAAACTGCTAAGGACGTTAAAAGGAACTCAGTACAAAGCGCAGAGCGGAATTAACGTGCAGTTTTCTCAATGTTTGGAAATATGATGAAGTAGCTACTAATAACAGCCGAGAAACTGATGTTCTCTTTCGTTTTATATTCTTTTGTGTAATGCTTTCTGCTTCTCGAAATCCCTGGAAAGTATGTGATGGTCGACTACGTTTCCAAATAATACAGGCATTAATTACTGATATTCAATTGCAATATCAATTTCAGTTATACAGGGCCGACCAAAATTTTGCCAAATTGGTGCCAGGTTTGGACACGATTGACCATTTCCCGTCAAATTTGATTGCAAAAGTTAGTTGCCAATTCAGTTGTCAATTTGTCATAATATCGCAAAAATAGCACGATAGCCATTTAATGTTAAATAGACCCTGTTGATTTTATTTGTTTATTTTAGGTGGTTCAAGTGCAATGGGATTTGGTGCGCAATCAGGAGGTTCGGGTATGTACTCAAAGCAAATCTTCTTCAGTGCTTTCATTAGTTCTTCTAGTGTATGTAACAAGATTAAATAAAAGATAATTTACCCTTTTATTCCAACCAAAAATGAATAAATAGACTGTTCCTCTGGGGCGTAGAATAAATCTCTGTTTGGGCTTTAATTTAAAATAGAAAACATAAATTTAATTAATTCTAAACACAATTAATCAGTCGAAGCTAGATACTATTAACTCGCAGAATTGGCTCTTATTGAAGGATAACTGGCGTATACTATTCGATACTTACTATGTACGTCCGTAAATTAAAAACGAATTTATAGTTCTTCAGATTACCGGATTTAGTCTGTTTGAAAATAGCAGTTTCATCACACTATACTTAGAGCATTAAAATCGATAACTGCTGCATATTTGTTCATTTTAGGTGCTTCAGGTGCAATGGGATTTGGTGCGCAATCAGGAGGTTCAGGTATGTAGTACTGTTGAGTAGGAAAAAAACCTATGTTCTGTTTCTTTACTTTGCCGAAAATTCTTGGGCACCAATGCTGTATTACAAATTCCTCTTAGGGAGGAAACTAATGCAGAAACAGACAGGTGAAACCGCAACTAACTAAATGTCACGGAGAAACTAAAGTCTTAAGAGTTTGCTAATTACCAAACTTTTAGTGATCGTTTAAGTGAATTTTTAATGCATTGCGTTGTAAAAATGCATCCGGGACCGCGCCGTGAGAGGATCGAATAAACAACATGTAAAATCAATATATATATAAGAAAAACATATAGGAAAAACATATTAAGATATAAAGAAAACATAAGTACTAGGTTTCCAGATTAAATATCAGTTTATCCAAATTCCTCAAAATAAAAATTAAATATTATCCTAATCAGAGAGTCAAATTTCTTATTTGTGTTACATTTTTAATTTACTTATTTTAGACACAGGGGAATTCTTCAATTTGTCATTTACTTTTTGTTACATTTAAATTCATGATTTGCAAATCTATTACATGACTCTTTTAATTTAACTGGTACCCATTCTATAATTTCTAAGAGGTTAAGGAAAACATATTATTTGCAATTCACACCTCTTCTAAGGAAGATTACACAAACAAATTATTACATCCTAATTCATATAAGGACCTTAAGGTTTGTCTCGGTAATTTAGAAGGGGAAAGGGAAACAATTGAAAGCCTGAGAATTAATTTAAGATTCGATGTTGTTATTTTACATTCCAAGGAAGTCGTTGAAACCTTACTTAAAGTTCAGGCACAAAAAATAGAAACTTATCTTGTGGTGTACATCTTGAAGTGGAAGACTCGTATCCTAATAAGAGTTGACGTCGGCGGAGCTTATCCATAGTTGCAAATGGAAGTTTCAGAGGACATCGTCCTATCCTGGCACTATTGGCGAAACACACACGGCAGGTAACTGGTTTTCATAACGACGAAGCAATTTTCACCCTGGAAATCAGAAACAGGAGCACTGCTGCCCAGCACGGCTGTCCGCCTGGTCTTCCCGCTTTGAATTCGCCTCTTAACCAGAATGCGGCAGGGGAGCATGTTTGCAGCTCCCAGCCGGAAAGGTCTCTCTAGGCAATTACAGCTCGTCTTCTCTCGCTCATCCCAAGAGCAAGCTCAAAGTTACATTCTTAGCCCAAAAGTAAGTAAGTCCACCCAGTAAGTGATTCCAAGAGTAAGTGAGTAAAGTCTCTCGCCTCTTAGTCAAAACTGGGGAGCATATTTGCCGCTCCCCGCCGGAAAATCACGTCTCTCTTCGTAAATTACATCGTTTCTATCGCTCAACCCCAGAGCAATTTTTAAGAGTAACGTTCAAAGTAAGTTCCGAAAGCAAGTCTCGCACGAAAAGTGATTCAAACTCGAATTTTCTTCCTCTAATTCACAAACGCGGGCCCCCCACTATGGCTTCAATTATCGCCCCCTTAAGTTTGGCAAATTTTACGTTTTTAACCCCTGAATGCGGAAATAAGGGTGATCGCGCATGCGCGCTCCTCTTCAATTAGCCAACAACCGGACCTTCCGATCGCCAAAACCTGAATGACTTCCATCGAAGATTAAGTGGCAACCTCTGACCCTTCTGCCACGTACTTCCTGTCCTAAGGTCAACTGCATAATGAAATTTCTTATAGAACATTCTAAAGGACAAAGCGCGCGAAATCATGACTTAGCAAAATTGCCTCCCTTTCCCTGCTTCTTTTCACAATGAATCAAAGCTTGCACAAAAATTGCGAATAAAAAAAATAAATAATATTCTTTTAAACTAAATAATATTCCCAGAAGCATCTGTTTTTCCCCAAATTAAAGCATTAAAATAAATAATTCAGAATCAAATAAAATTAAGATTTCCTTAAATCAGAATATCATTCACCTAGTTTTTATAACGACATCAGACAAATTCTCTACACAACAGTACTCAAAGCACGTTTTGTGCAATGCCTTAATTATACTGTCATAAATTGATTCTAATATGTATATTAAACACGAATGAACTTCTCAGTTCATTTTCCTGTAAGAACTTCCAAATTATGCATAAAACAAGTCTGGAAATATATTCGCTCAAATCTTCCATTGGAGAACTGGTTTTCTAGAGGCATTTCACATTCATAAAAATCTATCTGTTATAGTTAACGATCCCAATTCCCATCCAAATTTGCCTACGGCCTTTAAAGAAATTATGTTTTTGTTCTGGTTTCACCAACAGATGGCGCCACTTGCTTATTCTTTTCCAAGCTTTCTTATCTAATCATTATTTCCTATCTTGTTCATTTGCGGTTTTGCAGCTGAGAATGATGGTTGGATAAAACCATCGAAACTAGTCCTGTGAAAGTTTTGTAAATATAACGCTGATTTTTGTTGTTTGACTTCTGAATTAGTAATTTATAGTTCTTCAGATTACAGGATGTAGTCTTTTTAAAAAGACCAGTTTCATCACACTATACTCAGATTATTAAAATCGATAACTGCTGCATATTTGTTCATTTTAGGTGCTTCAGGTGCAATGGGATTTGGTGCGCTATCAGGAGGTTCAGGTATGTAGTACTCGAAGCACGTTTTGTTCAATGCCTTAATTACATTGTCAGAAATTGATTTTAATATGTATATTAAACACGAATGAACTTCTCAGTTTATTTTCCTGTAAGAACTTCCAAATTATGAATAAAAGAAGTCTGGAAATATATTCGCTCAAATTACATTAAATGATTTATATATTTTTTTTATAATACTGGGTCCATTCAGTATTAATCGCATTAATTTTAGGTTTCCGAGGTAGAAATCGTATACTAAAGTTAACAATTGCACGGAATTATACAGTTATGTGAAGTACTTGTTAGAAACATTCAGTGTTACATATTGTTGCGTGTATTCGGGCTATTAATGAATTGAATGCAGGCTGAACTCCTGATACATTATAAAATATATTTTACCAAAAATTCCGTTCACAGTTCTGAAATTTTCTGCAAAAATATTCGTACAGCTATTCACGGTATCCCACAGTAAAATCAGTAGGTGCACATCAAACTGCTAAGGATGTTAAACGGAACTCAGTGCGTAGGGCATGTAGAGAGCGGAACTAAGGTGCATCTCAATGTTTGGAAATATGATGGAGTAATTACTAATAACAGCCGAGAAACTGATGTTCTCCTTCGTTTTATATTCTTTTGTGTAATGCTTTCTGCTTCTTGAAATCCCTGAAATGCATGTGATGGCCGACTACGTTAAAACTAACACAGGCATTAATTACTGATATTCAATTACAATATCCATTTCAGTTATACAGGGTGCTGACCAAAATTTTGCCAAATTGGTGCCAGGTTTGGACACGATTGACCATTTCCCGTCAAATTTGATGACAAATGTTAGTTGCCAATTCAGTTGTCAGTTTCTCATTATACCGCAAAAATAGCACTATAGCCATTTAATGTTAAATAGACTTTACCCTGTTCATTTTATTTGTTATTTTAGGTGGTTCAAGTGCAATGGGATTTGGTGCGCAATCAGGAGGTTCAGGTATGTAGTACTCAAAGCACGTTTTGTTCAATAGCTTAATTTCATTGTCAGAAATTGATTCTAATATGTATATTAACACGAATGAACTTCTCAGTTTATTTTCCTGTAAGAACTTCCAAATTATTCATAAAAGAAGTCTGGAAATAGGTATTTAATTTTAAACCACGATAGCCATTTAATTATAAATAGACTTGACCCTGTTCATTTTATTTGTTTATTTTAGGTGGTTCAAGTGGAATGGGATTTGGTACGCAATCAGGAGGTTCAGGTATGTAGTACTCAAAGTAAATCTTGTTCAGTGCTTTCATTAGTTCTTCTAGTGTATGTAACAAGATTAAATAAAAGATAATATACCCTATTATTCCAACCAAAGATGAATAAATAGATTTTTAATCTGGGGCGTACAATAAATCTCTGTTTGGGCTTTAATTTAAAATAGAATATATAAATTTCTTTAATTCTAAACACAATCAGTCAGGCGAGGCTAGGATACAATTAACTCGCAGAGTTGGCTCTTATTGAATGATAACTGGCGTATACCATTTGATAAATATTATGTACGTCCGTAAATTGAAAACTAATTTATAGTTCTTCAGATTACCGGATATAGTCTTCTTAAAAAGAGCAGTTTAATCACATTATATTTAGAGTATTAAAATCGATAACTGCTGCATATTTGTGCATTTTAGGTGGTTCAGGTGTAATGGGATTTGGTGCGCAATCAGGAGGTTCAGGTATGTAGTACTCAAAGCACGTTTTGTTGAATGCCTTAATTACATTGGCAGAAAATGATTCTAATATGTACGTATATTAAACACGAATGAACTTCTCAGTTTATTTACCTGTAAGAACTTCCAAATTATGCATAAAACAAGTCTGGAAATATATTCGCTCAATCCTTCCATTGGAGAACTGGATTTTCTAGAGGCATTTCACATTCATAAAAATCTTTCTGTTCTAGTTAACGATCCTAATTCCAATCCAAATTTGACTTCGGCCTTTAAAGAAATTATGTTTTAGTTCTGGTTTCACCAACAGATGTCGTCACTTGCTTATTCTTGTCCAGGCTTTCTTATCTTATCTAATCATTATTTTCTATCTTGTTCATTTGCGGTTTTGCAGCTGAGGATGGTGTTGGATAAAACCTTCGAAACAAGTCCTGTGAAAGTTTTGTAAATATAACGCTGATTTTTGTTGTTTGACTTCTGAATTAGTAATTTATAGCTCTTTAGATTACCGGATTTAGCCTTTTTAAAAAGAGCAATTTCATCACACTATACTTATTGTATTTAAATCGATAACTGCTGCATATTTGTTTATTTTAGGTGCTTCAGGTGCAATGGTATTTGGTGCGCAACAATAACAGCCGAGAAACTGATGTTCTCTTTCGTTTTATATTCTTTTGTGTAATGCTTTCTGCTTCTCGAAATCCCTGAAAAGCATGTGATGGCCGACTACGTTTCCAACTAACACAGGCATTAATTACTGATATTCAATTACAATATCCATTTCAGTTATAAAGGGTGCTGACCAAAATTTTGCCAAATTGGTGCCAGGTTTGGACACGATTGACCATTTCCCGTCAAATTTGATGACAAATGTTAGTTGCCAATTCAGTTGTCAGTTTCTCATTATACCGCAAAAATAGCACTATAGCCATTTAATGTTAAATAGACTTTACCCTGTTCATTTTATTTGTTATTTTAGGTGGTTCAAGTGCAATGGGATTTGGTGCGCAATCAGGAGATTCAGGTAGGTAGTACTCAAAGCAAATCTTGTTCAGTGCTTTCATTTCTTCTTCTAGTGTATGTAGCAAGATTAAATAAAAGATAATTTACACTTTTATTCCAACCAAAGATGAATAAATAGATTTTTAATCTGGGGCGTACAATAAATCTCTGTTTGGGCTTTAATTTAAAATAGAATATATAAATTTCTTTAATTCTAAACACAATCTGTCAGGCGAGGCTAGGATACAATTAACTCGCAGAGTTGGCTCTTATTGAATGATAACTGGCGTATACCATTTGATAAATATTATGTACGTCCGTAAATTGAAAACTAATTTATAGTTCTTCAGATTACCGGATATAGTCTTCTTAAAAAGAGCAGTTTAATCACACTATACTTATTGTATTTAAATCGATAACTGCTGCATATTTGTTTATTTTAGGTGCTTCAGGTGCAATGGTATTTGGTGCGCAACAATAACAGCCGAGAAACTGATGTTCTCTTTCGTTTTATATTCTTTTGTGTAATGCTTTCTGCTTCTCGAAATCCCTGAAAAGCATGTGATGGCCGACTACGTTTCCAACTAACACAGGCATTAATTACTGATATTCAATTACAATATCCATTTCAGTTATACAGGGTGCCGACCAAAATTTTGCCAAATTGGTGCCAGGTTTGGGCACTATTGACCATTTCCCGTCAAATTTGATGACAAAAATTAGTTGTCAGTTTGTCACTATATCGCAAAAATAGCACGATAGCCATTTAATGTTAAATAGACTTGACCCTGTTCATTTTATTTGTTTATTTTAGGTGGTTCAAGTGCAATGGGATTTGGTGCGCAATCAGGAGATTCAGGTATGTAGTACTCAAAGCAAATCTTGTTCAGTGCTTTCATTTCTTCTTCTAGTGTATGTAACAAGATTAAATAAAAGATAATATACCCTATTATTCCAACCAAAGATGAATAAATAGATTTTTCCTCTGGGGCGTACAATAAATCTCTGTTTGGGCTTTAATTTAAAATAAGAAATATATAAATTTCTATTAATTCTAAACACAATTAAGTCAGGCGAGCTAGGATACAATTAACTCGCAGAGTTGGCTCTTATTGAAGGATGAAACTGGCGTATACCTATTTAGGATAAATATTATGTACGTCCGTAAATTGAAAACTAATTTATAGTTCTTCAGATTACCGGATATAGTCTTCTTAAAAAGAGCAGTTTAATCACATTATATTTAGAGTATTAAAATCGATAACTGCTGCATATTTTGTGCATTTTAGGTGGTTCAGGTTGTAATGGGATTTGGTGCGCAATCAGGAGGTTCAGGTATGTAGTACTCAAAGCACGTTTTGTTGAATGCCTTAATTACATTGGCAGAAAATGATTCTAATATGTACGTATATTAAACACGAATGAACTTCTCAGTTTATTTACCTGTAAGAACTTCCAAATTATGCATAAAAACAAGTCTGGAAATATATTCGCTCCAATCCTTCCATTGGAGAAACTGGATTTTCTAGAGGCATTTCACATTCATAAAAATCTTTCTGTTCTAGTTAACGATTCTAATTCCAATCCAAATTTGCCTTCGGCCTTTAAAGAAATTATGTTTTAGTTCTGTTTCACCAACAGAGATGCGTCACTTCCTTATTCTTGTCCAGGCTTTCTTATCTTATCTAATCATTATTTCTATCTTGTTCATTTGCGGTTTTGCAGCTGAGGATGGTGTTGGATAAAACCTTCGAAACAAGTCCTGTGAAAGTTTTGTAAATATAACGCTAATTTTTGTTGTTTGACTTCTGAATTAGTAATTTCTAGTTCATTAGATTACCGGATTTAGCCTTTTTAAAAAGAGCGATTTCATCACACTATACTTATTGTATTTAAATCGATAACTGCTGCATATTTGTTCTATTTAGGTGCTTCAGGTGCAATGGGATTTGGTGCGCAATCACTAGGTTCAGGTATGTAGTACTCGAAGCACGTTTGTTAAATGCCTTAATTACATTTTCTGAAATTGATTCATTCTATATGAATATTAATCACGAATGAACTCCTCAGTTTATTTTCCTGTAAGAACTTCTAAATTATGCATAAAAGAAGTCTGGAAATATATTCGCTCAGTTAATTTAAATGATTTATATTTTTTTATGATGGGAGCCATTCAGCATTAATCGCATTGGTTTTAGGTTTCCGAAGTAGAAATCGTATACTAAAGTTAACAATTGCACGCAATTATACAGTTATGTGAAGTACTTGTGAGAAACATTCAGTGTTACATATTGTTGCGTGTATTCAAGCTATTGATGAATTGAGAGCACGCTGAAATCCTGATACATTGTAAAATATATTTTACCAAAATGCCCTTCACATTTCTGAAATTTTCTGCAAAAATATTCGTACAGCTATTCACAGTATCCCACAGTAATATCAGTAGGTGCACATCAAACTGCTAAGGATGTTAAACGGAACTCAGTACGAAGCGCATGTGGAGAGCGGAACTAACGTGCAGTTTTCTCAAAGTTTGGAAATATGATGAAGTAACTACTAATAACAGCCGAGAAACTGATGTTCTCTTTCGTTTTATATTCTTTTGTGTAATGCTTTCTGCTTTTCGAAATCCCTGAAATGCATGTGATGGCCGACTACGTTCCACTAACACAGGATTAATACTTATATTCATTACAATATCCTTTCAGTTATACGGGGTGCTGACCAAAATTTTGCCAATTGGCCAGGTTTGGACACGATTGACCTTTCCCGTCAAATTATGACAAAGTTAGTTGCCAATTCAGTTGTCAGTTTCTCATTATACCGCAAAAATAGACTATAGCCATTTATGTAATAAATTACCCTGTTCATTTTTTGTTATTTTAGGTGGTTCAAGTGCAATGGGATTTGTGCGCAAAGGAGATTCAGGTATGTAGTACCAGCAACATCTTGCTCAGTG